ACTGCTTTTCTGTTCACTTGAATACCACGGCATCACCTTCCTCTGTAATCGAGGTAATCTAAATCCAAACCTAAATAACCACCAGCTGTGTTGGTGTCCTGGTTCCGAGTCACTGCTGTCAGACAAGCTGAAGTCACTCTTGCGGCTTCCAGACCCAGTAGAGCTGCTGCTGCTACTGTTCTCTCTCAAGCAGGATTCAGTTCCAACCACTGGATGACTGTGGTGTCTTGGATTTTGCTTAACATTTTCCACAATTTAATTGAATTGTTGATCGCCAGTAACTTTTCCAGCTCTTGTTTCTTCTGGGAATTAATTTCTTCTTTGGACTTCATTACTTTCTTATCATGGGGTTTTAGTGGTTTTTTTCTTAGATGTGCTGCAACATATTTTTCTAGTTCTCTCAGTGTTGCAAAGTCTCTTTCTGCCTCCTCAGGATTGGAACTTTGTAGGGCAGACTCTTTTGATTGCATCGTATGAACTACTTGGCCCAGTGTATCTCCAGGGAGTTTGCTTATATTCAAACGCAATTGCGTTTTCTCATCACAGTTCATAGGCTTAGCATCATCTTCACCTTCAGATTTAGGAGTAAAGACTCTTACTTCCTCTTCTTTGGTTGATTGCTCTTGGACTTTTCCTTTAATTGGAAGTTTTTTTGAATTTTCATCTCTGTTATTGTTGTCTCTTTTTTTCCTTCTTTTAGACTTCTCTTTTTTCTCTAGCTTATGGAAAGGTACTTGGGACAAAGTCTGTAGTTGTTGATGAACAGCTTTAAGCTGCTCCTGAAGTTTTCTTAATTTGTTCATCTTCAGAAGAATCAGAAGTTTTCTTAATTTGTTCATCTTCAAAAGAATCAGAAGAGTTATCTTTAGAGGAGGCTTCACAGCTGCTTTCTTTACTACGGTTTTTTTTTTTGTAGGGCCTGTTGTGATGTTGCATACAGGAGTGCTCTCAATAGGTTCATTGGGAATTTTGACAAAATGCATTTCAAAAATATCCTGGAGCATTCTAACCGTTGCCAATACGTCATTATCTGGAGAAATGTATTTGTAGCAATTCATGAACATTAATGTTGCATCTGTAGCAAATTCATATGCATCCTTATATTTCTTGTCCATTTTCTTCTTAATAGTTTTAAGATCCATTGGATTTTTGTCAATGGCATAATAGTTACATAATCCAAAAGCATTAACATCAACAGGATTATAAAAGGACCATGTGTATGAAAAATGTTTCGTAGAAAGCATTTAAGAGTTTCATTACAGTGCTTTAGTTGTTCAGTTATTTTAATCCTCTTTTCCACTTTACAATGTTACTAAGACTCCAACAAAACATTTTCCATCTCATTTTCTTTTGTTGGTGGCATCCTGGCTGTTTTTTTCCCATAGCTGGTGTAGAAGATTCATTACTTGGTCTGACTGCAGAAATTGTGGGAATTGTTATATCTGCTTTTCTCTTCCCACCCCTGGTAGCTCAGACCACAGTTTGTGAGCTGTTGTGGAGTAGAGCTCCTTATGCCATGTTTAAGGGAGAGATGGATTTTTCAGGAAGTACAGAGGGATTCTCTTGTTGCTTAAATACAATTTCTGTTGCTTTGGGAGGTGGTTTTTCTTTAACAGAAGAAACTGATGCATTCCATTGAGTGCCTTTATTTATTCTTTGCCCACAACTTGCTCTTCTAGTGGCATCTGAGATAATTTCTGCATAAACACCTTCTTCAGAGCTTGTGCTGTAAGAACAGCATCATCTCCAGGCTTGTTATATATAACAGTTTGAGAACGTTACATTGAAGTCTTCTGTACATTCTGAAGCCTTCACATAGTACTTATTCTCCAATTGCTTCTTAGTTGTATTTAAATCCATTGGATTTTTATAATGGTGTGGTAATCAGTTCAGTTCAGTTTCACAGCATCCACAGGCTGTTGAAAAGGCCAGGAAAAACAGTGTTTACCTTCAGGACAGCTCTTTGTAGACTATGCAGCTGATTTGTCAGTGCTCCGTTTTTCTTAGTGTTGATATATTCTGGTGGGGGTGGGTTAACAGTAGCTGCTTGTCGACCTGGCAGGGATAGTCCTAAGTGCTTTGGCTCTGGATACTCTAATGCTCTCTACAACTGTAGTTCCTTTTAGGAAAGGACCTTAGCTGCCTTATTTGATGGTCTCTTCCTGCTGCACGAGACGAGGCACAGGACAGTGGCTCCATTTGCTCAGTGTCCATGGCCAGCACTTCTCATCCAAATGGCTGCTGCAGGTTGGCCCTTTTTTTTGAGACAGGGTCTCTATGCATTTCAGACTGGCTTTGAACTCGCTTTGTAGCCCAGGCTGGCCTCTTAACTCATGATGATCCTCCTATCTTAGCCTCCCAAGTATTGGAATTACAGGCCTGCACCACTACCCAGGCCAATCATGTTAATATTTATTGCCTAGATTTTTTTTTTTTTTAAATCGGTACCAGGGATCGAACTCACGACTGCCTGCTTACAAGGCAGGGGCTTATGCCGCTGAGCTAAATCCCCAGCCCCCTATTGCCTAGATTTTTAAAAAAATGTTAATACTAATGCTTGTGCCTTACTGATTTATTTTGCTTGCAGTATTAGGCCTTGTATACGCCGAGTGTGACCTCTACCACTGAGCTACATTCCCAGCTCTAGTTGTGCCTAATTGAAATTATTCTTACACTATTCTGGAGGAAAGAAAGTAGAGTTTACAGCCTTTTAGGACTCTTCTTTTTTTTTTTTTAAATTTTTTCCATAGCAGTTTCTTGAGATAGCAGAACAAGTACATTGTTGCTCTGTGTGGAAATTGAAGGGAGGACATTAGAACTCTGGACAGATTAGACTTTTTCAATATCTTTCTGCCCAGTACCACTACATATACTTAGTGGTCAGGATGCTTCTGTGTCTCACTTGCACCTTAGTATCATTTGTGAAGCAAAATCAAAAGACAACCCAAAACACAAACAATTTTTGTAAACATGCATAGCAAAAGACTGATTTCCTGTGTATGTGACAATAAAGTTTGCTTTTAAACTGACAAGCAAAAGACACTGTCTTGTTTTGGGCTGTTAAAATACATTCCATAGACCTCAGTAAGCAGAAATTTACCTCTGTAAATAAAATGACTTTATAAAAGCTCACCGTTTTGGAAGCCAGAGAGTCTGAGACCAGGGTGCTGGCACGGTCAGGTTCTGGCAGAGCCCTGCTAGAGAGAGGGCTGTATTCTTGCTGCGTCCTTGTGTTGGGAGAGCAGAGAGGGAAAGTGGGCCCTCTCCTGGTTTCTAAGGACCTAATCCACTATGAGGCCACTTTGCAGCCTCCCAAGGTCCCATCTCCAAACGCCATCCCCTTGGGGGTCAGGGTTTGACATAAGAATTTTAGGGGGGACAAGCATTAGTTTATAGCGACCACCAGATGGAAGAATGGGCAAAGAACATGGATAGTTCCCAGAAAAGAAAATTCAGTTTGTTTTTAAACTTATAAAAATAGCCAGTGTCTTTCATAAAAAGGCAAATTAAAAGTACACAGAGTTATTGTTTCTCACCTTGGTAAAGATCAAACAGCTGGAATATATACCTTGGTCAGGTACAGGGAAATAGGTGCCCCTTGTCCTTTTTTTTTTTAAACATTAGATTTCTTTGGTACATTCTAGATACTCATAATGATCACATTCATCATAGTGTATTTGTACCTGTACATAAAATAACCTTTTTTTCCCCATTCTCCTCCCCTTCAGCCCCTCCTGCCCTCCTCTTTTACAAAGCTTTATTTCCATGTTTTCCTTCTTTTTTCTTCTGCCTCCCCCCTCCCCACACTCATTTTGGTCCTCATTTATACTTTTGGTCTCACACAGTACTCCTACTTTCATGAAAGTGTAAATTGGAACAGCTGCTTAGGGCAGCAGTTAAGTCGCCCAGAAGGCTTATTTACAACTGCTTACCTTGATCCAATAATACCATCTTCGTGAATGTATTCCGTAGACTTGCCTGCACAGTACATAGACACGGGTGGTTCTTGTAGCAGTGTGTAAAGCAGCAAAGGCCTGGAAATAGCCCCTCTGCACTGATTCTCTAAGAAATAGTAAGTTAAAAAGGCAAGGTGGGAGGAAGAAATGGGGAATGACTGTTAAGTGGGTAGAGGGCCCTCCTTGGGGAGCATGAAAATATTGAAAAGTGGGTGGGCCTCATAGTTATGTGACTGTGATTGTGCTAAATCTCACTTTGTGTCATTAAAAATCTACGTTTTTAAATATTTTTTTTACCTGGGATACAGCTCAGTGGCACAGTGTCTGCCTGGCAAGCGCGAGGTTGTAAGTTTGATGCCTGATACAAAAAAGGAAAAACGGGCTGGGGATTTAGCTCAGTGGCATAAGCACCTGCCTTGCAAGCAGGTGGTTGTGAGTTCAATCCCTGGTACCAATTAAAAAAAGAAAAAGAAAAAAAAAAAAACAGCCAAGTTTTTTTGGGGAAGAGTCTTGCTCGGTAGTTTACCCTGAGCTGAGGCTAGTGAGCTCAGACTGGCTTTGAATTTGTGATGTTCCTGTCTCAGCCACCTGAATCCTGGGATTGTAGGTGTGCACCAACAGGCCCACCTCAAAAAGGGTTAATTTTTTGATCTGGGAATTTTACTTCAGTTTAAAGAAAGAGAAAGTATAGGTCAGGCATGGTGGTGCATGCCTGCAATCCCCGCACTCAGGAGGGGGAGGCAGGAGGGGGATCCCTGAGAGTTCAAGGCCAGCCTGAACTACATAGTGAAGCCCTGTCTCAAAAAGACAAACGAGAGAGAGAGAGAGAGAGAGAGAGAGAGAGAGAAGTGGAGCAGGATTTCTCGTCCTTTAAAGGTTGAAGAATGTGGTTGGGACAAAAAATTAAAGATGTATAAGTGCTTGTCCCCTGGAGGGCTATTTCTGGGTAGTACACAAGAACCCAGTTAATGTTGCTTCCTTCCCGGGGAACTGGGGTGCAGAAGAAAGAGGAAATGTGATTTTTGTGTTGTTTGTGTTTTGTAGGAAATTTTATTCTGCTTATGGGCCTGGTCAAAAAGCTTTTGATCTGTTCAATCCAAACTTCAGATCTACCTGTCAACGGTGAGCCATTTTTAAGTTATGGTCCCTCTCCCTCTCGCCTGCCAAAGATTTCATTATCAGTTTGAGATGTTTTGTTGAATTCTACTTGAGAAAAAGGTGTACAGGAACGCCTGTTGAAGACATGCTCAGTGCGAGGATGTCACGTCATGTTATCCCAAACATCATATGGCTGAGATGTGGCTGCTTGGAATTCCTCCAGGTTCGTGGAGAAGTACATTGAGCTGCAGAATCTTGGAGAAACAGACGAAGAGAAGTTATTCGTGGAAACAGGAAAATCTTTATTGGCAGAAGGTGTCATTTTAAGACGAGTGGGAGAGGCAAGGAGCGTGAGTATTTTATTGTTAAAATTGTTTTCGTCGGGCTCTGCGTGTAGCTCAGTGGTAGAGCCCTTGTCCAGCCTGAGCGAGGCCCTGGGTGTGATCCTCCGCATGCACCAAAATCAGTAGTGCTGATTTCTTTACCTGTTTATCAGAAGTTGAAGAGCAGCATGGTGTACTTTCCCCAGCCTGGGCTCATGTTCTTAAATTCCAGGTCAGATACGTGTGAGTGAATAGGCTGAAACTGTGGTTATGACCGCTACTTGGGACAAGTGAGTTGTCGTTAGGACTCTGAAATACAATTCTGTAGACATTTTTATTATGCTGATTACCATTCGGCATAAAAGAATTTGATAAGATATTAGTGGTAAATCCTCAGTGGTTGCGTGTGCCTTGTCACATGGCTACAGCCAGTTAATTGAGTGAAAATGGTAATATCTGTGTGACACTTCTGTCTGGTCTGTTAAGCAGCTGGAAGGTAGTCACGTGAATGCCAGAACCCAAGCTGCCTTGGATGGAAACCAGCCCGAGGAAGAAGTGAGCCAGGACCAGCATATGGAGGCGCCTGAGGAGCCGTCAAAAGGTCTCCCGGCTCCCTGAAGGACTTGTATATGGACGGCACGCTGCGCGCTGCAGAGAGTGGGCTGTTTTTAACAGTTGAACTATGTAAATGCTTCCTGATCTCCAAGGCATTAGTGTTCACCTTTTCTTAGTTCCCACTTCTGGGTTGTCATGCAGCTCAGTATCACAGCAGTTTTGTGAACTTTTATTTTAGGACATTACTAAATAAAAGATTCCATACTGCCGATAAAGTAAATTTACTTTGAAATTGTAAATAACATGAAGAAACCTTTAGGAAGATTGTTTGAATGGGACTTTCTCTGAGTATGCTGCTGGGCTGTTCCTGCTGGCTGTAGTGGGTTGCATTTTTTTTTTTGAAACAGTCTTGCTATGTAATTCCGGCTGGCCTTGAGATCACTATGTAGCCCAAGCTGGGCTTGAACGTGGGCCAGTCATCCTGCCTCAGCCACCATGCCTGGCAGCATTGTGCTCTGCTGTGAATCTCTGCAGCCATCAGACTCTTCCTTGCACGTGGTGTGGTCCTGGGCCAGCTGTGTCCTTCTCCAGGTAATCTTTGTGCCTTTGCTATACAGTTACTGACATCACTGTGAGAGGCCAAGTTGACTTGTGCTTTGCAGTGAGGACTGACCATTGATGATGGACAGAGGCTAACTGGAGCTGTAGTGTCATGGATTGAGTGTGTTGGAGACAGCCTAGGCCTGTGTGGAGTAGGCTGCTCAGAACTGAGTGAATGAATGTATGAACGAATGTATGATTACACTGACAGATGGTGTCCTGTAGGTCACTGGGTCAGGGGGTGGCCAGGGCAGTTGGTTCAGTTGCAACTCTCCACAAGCTTCCTGCCTCCTGGCTGTGTCATAGTTCTCACCAACTGCCCTGCCCTTCTCGCTGACCTGTGTTAGTGAATAAATGAAATACATCTCAGCTGAGACTGAATTTGTGACGAAGCTAATAGTTTTCAGCTAGTAGTAAGCTGCTGCTTCAGAAATTCCTTGTTTTAAAAGTCATGCAGCTTTTCTGCCCGAAGGCATTTTCTGGTGGGCTGAGAGGCAGAGTCGCCTCACATAGCCTCCCCTCCCTGTGTACTCAGTGACTGAGGTCAGCGAGGCCCCGGGGCACAAGCAGCGCTCAGGGCTGGTTCACCCAGTTTGTCCCTTGCAACTCCTTGTGTTTGGGGAATGCTTCACTCTAGGGTGGGAAAGTTACTTTCATTCTTTCAAAGACCTTTAGGCAGTCAGTGAACCTGGTGATGCAGGCCTGTACTCCCAGCACTCGGAGGCTGAGACAGGAGGGTCACTGCATTCCAGGCCAGCCTGGGTGGCATGGTGAATTCAAGGCCACTTTGAACTACAGAGCAAGACTCTGTCTCAAGAAACAAAACAAAACAGAACAAAAACAAACGATACTAGGCAACGATTGAATGCAAGTATCAGGCCAGACCTTGGGAAGAGGACCTCTTCCCCAGCAGGTTAAGGAACAGTGGTTAAGTTGGGGGTGTCACTCATCTCTCTGAACCTTAGGTTTAGGTTATAAGAAGCAATTTCTTTGCCATAAATGATAAGGCTTGAAAAAATTTTGTTGCAGCTATAAAAAATACTTAGATATGGTTTAGAATTTAAAGGTAGAAAGCCCTTCGTGTTTCCCAGCTGTCCACCTTACCTGAGCTAGGTCTTAGTTACTTTTCTGTCATCGCTGAGACAAAATACCTGACACCAAAGTTAAAGGCGGAAAGGTTTAGCCCACAGTTTGTAGACGTGTCAGTCTGTAATCAGCTGGCTCCACCGCAAGGAGACTTGGCAGAGGGACAGTGCAGAAGAGAGCCAGTTCATGGCAAGCAGACAGTAAAAGCAAGCAGGGAAGGGCAAGACAAACTTCTTCCCGTCCCTTATACTGTATCCAGTCTACCAGCGTTTCGGTGGCACCGATCCAATCACTGGACTGCTGTAGTAATCACCTGCCCTTAGTCCCTGCACCCTCAATCATAGCATTGCACCACATACTCTAGACTCGGCTACCTCTGAAAAAGCCCCGCCTGTGACTGCCTATGACTTGTTTTCTTTTTTCTTTTTAAGGAGACTAAAATCAAGCAAAATAAAATAGAATCAAGCCAGTCAACACAGTGTGGGTGGGAGCACATCTAGGTACAAACAATAGCAATCACTAATTCTTTGACCTTCAGAACTACTTGGGTATGTATATGGAGGCTATATTGTTCCGTACCTTGTTTTTCTAGTTAGTGTGTCCTAGAGACTCTTTGTATGAATCTTTTGTGATTTAACCAGTGCTAAACTTTCAATGATTGTCTCTAGGTTTTACTGTGCAGCAGGTGGGCTGGCAGGGCTTTGGGGTGCTGGATGGAGGGGTCGCTGTCTCTAGTTGTGATAATAACCTCAGTTCTACTCCACAGCAGTGTATGAGAATGGAACTCACAAGGAGCAGGAAGAGCCTGCTTTGGCATGAGGCAGCTGCTGTCACCCAGCGCTGCCTTCAGGTTAAGGCTCAGTGATCAGAACACAGCGGGAGGTGTGAAGTTTATGTGGGGAATTCAGAACCTTGCCCAGTTTGGAGGAAAGCCTTTATCAGGTCCCTATGGTGTTCTTGGAGAGAATGGAAAGCTGACCTCATTCTTGCTTTTTCTTTTTTTCTTTTTTCTTTTTAAGGAAACTAAAACCAAGCAAAATAAAACAGAATCAAGCCAATCAAAACAACGTAAGTGACCCAAGGTTTCAAAATGACAATTGGAAATCAATGATGGCTGCCATAATACAATGCCTCTTGTCTTCAAGATAGCTGCCCATACCATCAGACATAGTAAAATCAAGCAAAGCAGAATAGAATGGAACCAATAAAAACAACAATGCAAAAAAAAAAAAAAAAAAAAAAAAAAAACCAACAATGAATGTAATACAGGATTTCAAAATAAGATAATAGTAAATCCAAAATGATTACTGTAATATATCTTGCAATCTCGGAAATAGCTGCCTATAACATCAGATATAATAAAATCAAGACAGCAGAATAAAACCAAATAAAAAGCTTAAATTCAGCTAAGTATGGTGGCTCAGGCTTGTAATCCCAGCACTTGGGAGGCTGAGGCAGGAGGGCTGCCTGGGCTGCACAGTAAATTCAAGTCCAGTCTATAAACTAGACCTTGTCCCAAAACCCCTCTCCCCCAAAAAATCAAGTTGGGAAGGCAAGAGTGACTTGAGGAAGAGCAAGAGGAACGAGAATCTTTTGGAATGTAATTTCAGTATGTGGTAGAGGTTTCAGGGTTTAGCTCAGCTCAGCTGCAGCAGGAGGAGCTGGCCAGGCAGGCGTGGCAGAGAAAGCACACACACGGCTCTGCTCCAAGCAGCCTCCCTGCTACCAGGGCCTTAGAGGTGGCATCTGCAGTGCCTGTTTCAAATGCTGTCTGCTTGGAAATTTGACCATTGCCAAGTCACCTGTGGAGCCCCTGCGGAAGCCCTGCACGCGCAGAGCATAGGGTGTAGGGTGTCACTGTGATCACCACACCTGAGCTGCCACCTGTGCTCCTGTCTGATTCACTGTGGCCCGCATTCCTGTGCCTGGTGTTCCTTCCCTTTTTAGAAGCGAGTAATCAAGGGCAGACATTCTCGCTCTTTGTAGCCACAAGTGTTAAATGGTCTTGAGCAGCAGATCCTCCAGGGCTTTCTGGGCTGATCAGAAAGGCCTGTGTTTGTGTCCAGGCCACTGTGGGGTGTGCATGGGACAAATCCGAAGATCTGGGTGCTTCTAGCAACTCCTTTTCACTGGCATGGCCATGGAAGGGCTATCACCCTATAAAATAGCAGATTTTGCCTCGTTGGCTTCCAGCTTAAGCTGTGAGGACTCCTTGAGATCATGAATACAAAGCTCACTTGCATAACACGGGGAGGGACTTTAGTATTTTGAGCTCGTGGAAAATGGGTCTGAGCAGGTGGGATGGGATCGGCCAGTTGGGAAGTCTGAGCAAGGAAGAGATGTGCTGAAAGCTGTGTCAGGTCGAAGGAAGATGATTCCAGAAATAAATGGAGTCGGGGCATGGGCAGAGGAGGAGGGGAGAGCAGACAAGTATTCCAGTTACAAACCAGACCAGCAGCATTGCTAGCAGGCAGCTGGGGAAAGGGAAGTGACACAGGGCAAAGAGCACCAGTTCTTGGTTGGAGGGGATGGTGTGACATCCAAGTTACAGGCTGCTATGGGACACATATCTGGGAGAGAAAGAAAACCCTCTAAGACAGGTGATATTTGGAGCCCCGAGGATGAATGAGCTGTTTGAGGGGAATGGAGAGAAACACGTTGGGCTGGCTGGGGGAGGGGACTCTCAGTTAAAGGGCAGAAGAGAAAAGGTAGCAAAGGAAGGCTTGTGCCCCATCTCTTCCACTGTCTGTAAATGCTGACCAGGCAGTCGGAGATTCCTTAGAGTTTACAGAGTCCTGCCTTCGCTTCTGTTGGGCAGACCTAATCCTTGGTTGGTGTTCTTGAAAACAGCTCATTTCTCTGCGTGGTTTTGTGTAATACTTAGCATTATGCTGATTTTACTGAAATGATACCTTCTAGGTGAAGGGTGGCTTGCCACTTAAAAATATTCAGGGAAGGGGGAGACATGTATTCATCATGTACCAGAAACATGTTAATAAAATTTTTTTTTTTCTTTTTTCGGTACGGGGATTGAACTCACGACCGCCTGCTTGCAAGGCAGGTGCTTATGCCACTGAACTAAATCCCCAGCCCCCCAATTTTTGAAAAAAACATTCAGCAGATTTAAAAATTTTAAACAAAGGTGTTCAAGTAGGGTGATAGGCTTTTTGGAGCCCAGGAGCAGCCTGCTGGAGTTGTTGCTGGGCTTCATCCACCCATCTCCTGTCTCAGCTGTGACCAGGCCTGATACTGACCTCCAACGCAGGATGGCAGTTTTCCCTACAAATTAGGGCGTGGGTCACGGAGTGACACGGGGTGAGAGTGAAAGCCAGCTGACCTTTGCCTCAGCCAGGGCACCTACAGCCAGGGACAAGGACAGGCAAGCCGAGTGAGCGTGGGCAGGAAGTCCAAGGCTCTTCCTCCCTGCTCTCTTCCTGAGCTCCAGTCTGGACAGCCAAGAGGTGAAAGTGACTCTGGCTGGCTGTCTGAGTCACCGTCTCAGCCTCTGACTGCGCTCAGTGAGTGCGGGATGCCTGGGCAGAGTCAGAGAGAAACCTGGTTGAGGTCACCTTGGCTGGCGGAGGGAGGGCATCT